TATATTAAGTATAATTTAAAAAGTATAGAACTGTATGCATACATCATCTGCCACCATCTTGAGAAAAAAGAACACATGAAAATACATATGCTTAAATACATATTTATGCACACATATACACAAGCAAACACATATGCTTATAATTAATAAAACTTCTCAGGAAAGGTATACAAGACATTGATACTAGTGCTGCGTGGGTGGGAGGAGAAGTGGAAGGAGGAATTGTCACCTCTTCAATTTTGAACCACGCGAACGTACCACCTCGTCAAATAAATTGAATACCAGGAAAACTAACAACAACGTCAAGAAAAAGGAGTGACACTAACCAACATACCTTTGAGAAAGATGACAACTGTGAGGAGCAACAACCAAAGAGCTAAGAGGCCAGAGGCAGGAGGACTAATTAGGAGCTACTGCACACATCCAGTCATGAGGCTGTGAAGCCCTGAAGTCAGAGGAAGCGAGCATGAGGCACAGATTTCAGGTATCATTGGAGGGTGACTTAACCTGCCTTATTCTAAGCACTTACTATATGCCAGGCATTATACACATCAAGTAGTTTATTCCCTCCTATCGGCTTTAGAGATTTTGCTAGCTCCATTTTACAGATGAGGAAACTGAAGCTCAAGAGGTTAAGTGACTTGCCAAGAATCATACAAATAGAGCAGATGGTAGAACCAGGATTCAAAGCCCTGCCCCCACGCCATTCTGGGGGCTTTGTAGCACCACAGTGAGTGGCCAGATCTGGGGGCAACTTGCTGTGAATAGAAAAAGGGAGGCATCTCAAAGGATGGCCACCTTTTGGCATCTCTAAAAGATTTCTGGAGCCCCTGTGGCCAAGGACAACTCAGGAAAAGAACTAGGCATGTATGCTCATCTGTGGGCTGGAAATCAGGGTGATCCTTGAGGGGCAGATGGTCCCAATGTCCTGAGACTGACTCTGGACTTTGAGAGAAGCCCAGACCTCATGAGGACCCACTGAAGCCAGAGGCTCCATGACACACAACACTCCTGGTGCCCTCCGCGGGGACTCAGCTTAAGGCTCCTGGGGCCTGCTAGGGCAAGATATGCCCATCCCTCTCCAGCAGGAAGTGCTAGGAAGGGGTTCCCCGGGGGGCCATTTAGCTGGAACAGCCTCCATATTTTCCTCTCCCATCTCCCTGAGGTATCAAGTGTGTGACTATTGATTTCCTCCCTGCATTTGTTTTTGTTATCCATTATTTATGGGATCATTTTTCCATCCTCCGTGCATGAAGGCAAATTTTGTGTAAAAATCAATTGAGTGAGTGCCGCCGATGGCTTGTTGCATTTTCTTGGCTTTCATCTCTGAGGCACCAGTCCTGGGAGATGCAGAGTGAGATATCAGGGAGCACACCAGACTGGGAAAGAGAGCCGGAGGACGGTGCAGGGTTCAGAAACCCGCTTTGAGAGACCTAGCCCCTCAGTTGCTTTGGGTCTTTGGAACAATACACTCTGTTGAGCTCACCTGGACGTCTTAGGTAGGGATTAAAGTCTTCCTGACCTGACCTGATCTCTAGTCCCCTTGCCCATTCACTGGGTTGAAGACAAGAAAGGGGTAGAGTCCCAGCTGCAGAACATCTTCCATTTCACACAGATTTATTTCCATGTAGAAACCCACAGGACTCTCCAGGAAGAAGGCTTGGGGGGCCCCCAGCCTCTACTGGCTTAACCTGAAGATTCCAGGAAAGTCACCCTGAAGGACTGAACATGGAGGAGTGGGAGTAAGGGCAGGGCTGACATTTAAAAAGCATCCATTCTATGTCAGGCTGAGCACTTCACATATATTCTCATTTGAGCTTCAGCGTATGTTGTAAAGTGAGTAGGGCATAAAGGAAGGAGCAGGAGATTTGATGTCACAAAGTCCTAAAGTCCCTACTTGGCCCCTTCCTAGCTGTGTGCTTTTAGGGAAGATATTTAACCCCTCTGTGCTACAGTTTTCACACTTGTAAAATGGGGATGACAGATGGCTAACTGACACGTGAAAAAATGCTCAACTTCACTCATCATCAGGGAAATACAAATCAAAACCACCATGAAATACCACCTTACACCTGTCAGAATGGCTAAGATTAACAACTCAGGCAACAACAGTTGTTGGCATGGAAGCAGAGAAAGAGGATCTCTTTTACACTGCTGGTGGGAATGCAAACTGGTGCAGTCACTCTGGAAAACAGTATGGAGGTTCCTCAAAAAACTAAAAATAGAACTACCCTACAACCCAGCAATTGCACTACTAGGCATTTATCCAAGGGATACAGGTGTGCTGTTTCGAAGGGACACATGCACCCCCATGTTTATAGCAGCACTATCAACAATAGCCAAAGTATGGAAAGAGCCCATATGTCCATCGATGGATGAATGGATAAAGAAGATATGGTATAGATATACAATGGAGTATTACTCGGCAATCAAAAAGAAGGAAATTTTGCCATTTGCAACTATGTGGATGGACCTGGAGGGTATTATGCTAAGTGAAATTAGAGAAAGACAAAAATTGTATGGCTTCACTCATATGAAGACTTTAAGAGACAAACAAATGAACATAAGGGAAGGGAAACAAAAATAATATAAAAACAGGGAGGGGGACAAAACAGAAGAGACTCATAAATATGGAAAACAAACTGAGGGTTACAGGAGGGATTGTGGGAGGGGGGATGGGCTAAAGGGGTAAGGCGCACTAAGGGATCTACTCCTGAAATCATTGTTGCACTATATGCTAACTAATTTGGATGTAAATTTTTAAAAAAATTTAAATTAAATTAAAATTTAAAAAAATGGGGATGAGAGTGCTTATCTCAAAGCAGATCCTACATTTAAAAGAAGGTGACTGGTTCATGGTAAGAAATCAATCAATAAAAATGTCTTCAGGTTAAGTCTTATTCCCACATTTTACCCCAAGTAACTTGATACATCAAACCGTAGCAGTTACTGTCAGTCATACTCTTCGGTCTCCATGAGGGCAGGCACCTCACCTGTCTTTACCCAGAGCCCAGTAGGGTACCTGGCTGGCACATCGTGGATGCTCAATAAATGTTAGTTGCTAGTACCATCACTCTCGTTTTTCAGACAGGGGCCGAAGGGCCAAGTCATGGGACCCGCCCAAGTCAAGTTCAAGTTAATGGTTGGCAAAACAAGAAACAGGCAAGGTGTCTCCTGCAATGCCGCTTCCTCTATCCAGCCCACTGCCTGTTGTTGCTTTTTTTTTTAAATATTTATTTACTTTGGTGAGAGCACAAACAGGGGAGGGGCAAAGAGAGGGTAACAGAGGATCTGAAGGGGGCTGACAGGCTGACAGCAGTGAGCCTGAGGTGGGGCTCGAACTCATGAACCATGAGATCATGACCTGAGCCCAAGTCAGAGGCTCAATCAACTGAGCCACCCAGGTGCCCCTGGCTGCCTGTTTTTATAAACAAAGGTGTCTAAGAACACAGCCATGCCCATTTGTTTATGTATTATCTACGGCTGCCACTGCCCTATAATGGCAGAGTTAAATAGGGGCAACAGAGACAGTATGACCACAAAACCTAAATTATTTACTTTCTGACCCATCGAGAAAAACTACGCCACATCATTTCCAAACTAGGTTCTAAGGAACACTAGCATCCCTTAAAACATGGAGGCCCGTGAGAAAAAAAAAAAAAAAAAATGGACAGCCGACATTCCCTGGTCAATTATGTGTGAGAAATGCTACATTCTGGACTTCTGTCTTGGAGATTCACGTTCATTCCAACTTATAATAGACTCTGAAAAGTTCTGCAGCTCAGCAGCAATAACAATAACAACAAAACTCTTTGAAAATTGCCCAAACTTATTTAACTTGTCCATGGGATACTTCTGACGGTGACACGATGTGAGTGACCAGCGGTGTGTAGTCCACAATTCAGTAAATATCTATAAATCTCATTGATTGCCAAATTTCAGTCATTTGTATGACCTTTATAACTGCCATATATACTTTGTAAATGCTATTTATTAGATATGTTTACTAAAAATGACTCGTAAACATTTTTCTTAAATTCGCTCTCTTTTTAAGCTCCGTCTCAGTCAGGTAACAGTAGCCATGAAATCATGGGCTGAATGTGTGTGTGTGTGTGTGTGTGTGTGTGTGTGTGTGTGTAGGGGGTGGGTGTAGCTACAAAGACATGGTTTCTGTCTTAATTATTCACATGCAACCCATGAAGGAAGACATAATGCATGGTGGGATATAATGATCCAACTGGCACTGCCCCGTTCAGTAGCCAGGAGTCCTTTTGGATTTAAATTAAATGAAGAATTCACTTCTTCGGTTGCATTAGCCTCATTTCAAGTGCTTAGCAGCCACGTGTGACTACTGCCTACCGTATTGGACAGTGCAGATATAGAAAACATTTTCATAATTATAAAAAGTTTTATTGGACAGCATTGGACATTTCTAAAATATCTTAAAAGTACTCAGCAGTGTTGCCTACCCAACCCTCATTTCCCCCCAGTTTTGTACAACTTTTTAATCAAACTCTGAGAAGTATAGCTATTGGAGCCTAAGCCAACACTGTCTCTTCATCTTATCTCTTCACCAGAATCTTCCCTTCCTTCCCCATATACTCTGCCTCCCTCTCTCTCTCTCCCTCTCTCTCTCTCTCTCATATGCACTCCAATGCCACCAATTTCCACCCTTTTATACAGGAAGGACTCACAGCCGCCCTGTGAGATCCAAAACCCAATCTCTTGGGCCCTTCTCTTGGGCAACACTGACATGGAAGCATCCTCATTCTGGGCCATGGGCTCCAAGAATGCAGAAGAAGACTGGAGCAAATGAGGTATCACAAATCGGTGGTCTGTAAGTTCAGTCTGGCCTACGTGTGTGTGTGTAGTTTAGCCTACTTGGTTGTTGTTGTTGTTGCTTTAACTTTTATTTTAAGGAAGGAAAGGCAAATAGGTATCACATGGTAGAAATTTAGATTTCCAGGGTCTCTTGAAAAAAAATCACAAGATTTGCTTACCTTGGTTTCATCTCCCCACACAGCAGTCACGGATTGATGCTGGGTAACTTCTGCCTCTTTTAGGGCGGCGACAGACCCTCTGCTTCCCCGCAATTCTGCAACCACTCTGCCACCGACATGCGGCTCACTGTTCTCATCTACTTGCCCTTCTGGGATTTGGATCTGTTGGTCTGCAAGGATCGTCTCAAAGGTTTCATCACTTACTTTCCACCTGTAATTTCAAACACGTGAGCGCTCTCTCCTCAGGCCTGCTGCATGGTTCTTGGGCCCCAGACAAGAAAGATGTGGCACAATGAATAGGAATGAACTGGTCTGCAAGGGCTGTTCAGTCCCAGCGACTGAACCTTCATCTATTAGCAGGGCTGGAAAGTTTGGGCTGGTCGGCTATTTCCCAAATTTGAGGACCTTTAAGCTTATGCCACTTTCTTCACAATGTAACATAAACTTGGCCTCTGGAGAGACAATACTGAGATTTTTGAGGACAGATCACTTTGAGAATTTGATAAAACCTATAGACTTAATAATGGTGGGAATATACATAGAAAGACACTTAATTTTGCATAAAGTTTCAGGGGGGTTATACAAAGACGCCCTTCAAAGTACATCCATGACTCTTCCAGGAATTCCTCAGGCCTTCGTTCAGAATCCCCTGGAGACTTCCAGTTAGAGTAGGAGACCGAACACATACATCAGCTCCCTTTCTCCCAGAACCTAATTGTAAAATGATAATTAAAGGATATTTAAAGCCTAAGCCTACAGGGACAAAGAGAATTAAAAAAAAAAAGACAATTACCAAAAAATGTTTTTTGGAAACTGGACAGCAAGTAAGAGGTAAATGATAGTAGACACACGAAAGCTGAATCCTAAGTCAGCAGGGGGGAATGCTGAGAAGCAACCCCAAAGGCATAGCAAATTCCTGAGACTTGCAAAGTGACAGTACCTCTTATCTCTGGAGGTTGGAGTTAAGAGGTGGCTGCAAACAGGTGACTTGGCCGAGAGCGTGTTTACAAAGCGGTTAGACCTTCAGATGAGGACTCAGACCTACCTCAACCACTTGGTGCAGGTGGGCAACTGTCTGACCCAAACTTGGCAGAACGCTGGCAGTTTATTCACTAGAAAAGTGTACGTGGGGTTTTTGGGGACACCGACCACAGTTAAGGGTGGGAAACTACATTGAAAACAGAGGAATTATATACAATTTTACATTCTAAATGTTGAAAATCACATTCCTTTTCTGTCACTCGGAACCATGAATGTGAACAGCCAGACATACATGCTTAAAACAGGAAACAGAGATTTTTCTCTGGGAATTAACCAATCCAAAGAGGAAAAGCAAAAAAAGTAGCATTAGAGAATCTTCAAGGAAGCCGCCCCTTCAATTTAGCCACCTTGCTAAATTATTTGAACTTTGAAATTATGGACACATACAGCTTTTTTTTTAAGTTTACTTATTTATTTTGAGACACAGTGAGCAAGCAAGGGAGGGGCAGAGAGAGAGAGAGAGGGAGACGGAGAATCCCAACCAGGCTCCACACTGTCAGCGCAGAGCCCAGTGCAGGGCTGGATCCCATGAACCATGACAACAGCACTGCGCCAAAGTCAAGAGTCTGATGCTCAACCAACTGAGCCACACAGGTGCCCCACATACAACTTTCATTTTAAAAAGAAGTTTGAAAGAAAAGGAATCTTGCTCTGATTCCTGGGAGTAACACAAGCATTACCTAATTTCTAACCAACCTAGTTTCTGACTATCCTAGAATGTAATCAGTGTTGCCTTGTTGCCATCAAACCTCTCCTCTCTCAGAAAAAAAAAAAAAAAAAAAAAAAAAAAGCAGCTCTTCTTATGCTCCCCCCACCCTGTGTAATCATTTTAACTGGGCTTAAACTCTGAAGAGTCCAGCTGCATAGAAATCGGTAGTTGGTCTGTTCTGGAGAAGATGTGTCCATCTCAGTGCATCACGGACATAGAGGAAGGCTATATGAAATGTGAATCCATGCAATCAGTGGCCCAGAGGGAGACAAAGGAAGCGGCTCCAACAGTGTAGTGGCCAACTGTGATTGCCAGGAACACACACCATCCTCTCCAGCCGATTGTTACTTCCTCTTGTCATTTTTTGAAAAAAAAAAAAAATCATGGTTGAGTTCCATAACTTGGTGCCAACTGATGTTAAGTCACTAGGCTTTGGGGGTTATTGTTTATCTCTTCCTTTCAATTTCTGTGACTTTTCTCTCCAGACAGGGGTGAGAAAGGAGGAGAATTCATATATTATATACTATGTGAACAGAGATACTCAGAAAGGTTGGGACCGGCTCCCAAACACTACAGACAGGTAAAGGTCGGGTTAACTTGGTTAAAACTTAACGGTTTGGTCCAGAGTCCCAGGAATGAGATATCGCTAGTCTCCAATGTGCGTGTAAGCTCCATGAGCACAGGGAGAGAGTCCCAAGTTCCCTGCTCAGTCCCCGGCACCTTAAGCAGGACCTGTCACATAGTGATAACATAACACATATCTGTTCAATGAATCCATTATATTTCTAGACCTCAGCTATTTCTCATGAAGCCAGGCATACACACAGAAATTAGAAGACACTCTACTTTTCTTCAGTTTTTTGGTCAAACTGTGCTAGGGAATGAAAAAAAAAAGTCACAGTTCAGGGTATTCATAATTAGTCTTATAATTGTATTTATTTTATGTTGGGTCAAAGGAAGATCTTGAGAAGCTTTAAACACTTAATGCTTTGCTACCCTTTCCCTGTATGAAGTTAAAATCACTACCTCAGGAAGTCTAACACAATTCTGAACTTGACTGTAAGGATGTTTTTTTTAAAATATCAAAAGTTGAAGTCTTCCAAAACATTCTTTCTTCTTTTGGTATGTCTTCCCTTCACATGTTCTTTTAAAATTTTTAAATGTTTACTTATTTTTGAGAGAGAGGGAGAGACAGAGACAGAACATGAGAGGTGGAGGGGCAGAGAGAGAAGGAGACACAGAATCCAAAGCAGGCTCCAGGCTCTAAGCTGTCAGCACAGAGCCTGACATAGGGCTCAGACTCACAGAGTGCAAGATCATGAACTGAGCCAAAGTCAGAGGCTTAGGTGACTGAGCCACCCAGGCGCCCCTTCCCTTCATATGTTTAGTCTGCCTTTTGGCAATTGAGCCCTGGCTTGGGGCATAGTTAGCCTCGTAGCCTGCTGCCTCTGGAACACTCAAGGGTCCAAATGATAAACTTAAAAACAGTAACCAGTCCTCCCAAGCACTTTGACACTGTGATAGGGAAAAGAAAAGGAGACAGGGAAAGAACTGAAGGAACAAAAGAAGCTTTTTTTTTTTTTTTTTTTTTAGAAGGAAAATACGTAGGGCACCTGGGTGGCTCACTCAGTTAAGCATACAACTCTAGACTTCAGCTCAGGTCATGATCTCATGGTTCATGAGTTCAAGCCCCTTATCAGGCTCCATGCTGGCAGTGTGAAGCCTACTTGGGATTCTCTCTCTTTTTCTCTCTCTCTCTGCCTCTCCCCAGCTTGCTCTCTCTCTCTCTGTCTCTCTCTCCTTCTCTCTCTCTGTCTCAAAGCAAATTTAAAAAAAAAGAAGGAAAAGATGAGAGAGAAGATAAAGTGATGGCAGTGGAAAAAGGCACTCCAGGCCCCCAATCTAGTCCCTACTCTACAACAATATTTTTCAGTGACAGCTCCCATTTTCCTCAAAGACTCAATAACCTGAGTTCTTCTTTTTTTTAAGTTGATTTATTTATTTTGAGAGAGAGAGCACACATGAAGAAGGGGCAGAGAGACAGATTACAAAAAGAGAATCCCAAGCCAAGCTTCAACTCACAAACCATGAGATCATGAGATCATGACCTGAGCTGAAATCAAAAGTCGAATGCTTAACCAACTGAGTTACCCAGGCGCCCAGACCCTAAGTTCTTCTAATATGGTAAGTTGGTCAAGGAGCCAAATGTAATGTTTTTATTATTATTGGCTTCAAGTATATATTTTAGTATTCTAAAAGGCAAATTCAAGAATAAAAATATTAAGATAATATTTATTTTCCAAGCCTCTTTAAGGAAGTTGTACATTTTTTAGAGGAGATAGTCCTTTATATTTTTTCACAGGAGGTATCTAAGACTGAACAAACATCCAGAGCAACAGTAGCTCTCAGCTTGGAAGTGGACATGACCTCATTCAACCGAACAGCTGATGCTGAAACCCACCATCTACACCACTCCCCAGCATCACTCACTAACATCTCTGCTTGAATGCGCCACAGCAGGGACTCACAGCACAGCCCACTCCTTCGGCCATATTGACTACCAGAGCCCTCTTCTTGCAAGAAACTAAATTTTTCTTACCGTGATTTTCATATCTTACCTAATTACACCCCTTCGGGGCCCATAGAACAAGCTTCTTTCACATAAAAGTCCCTCAGATATCATCTCTAAAAATGTAAGTCCACAGGAGCAAGCATGGCATAGTGGGAAGAGTACAGCCCTAGAGGCAGACAACTCTGGATTGAACTCCTAGGTTCTATGATTTATAGTTGTATGACTTTGGACAAGTTGTTTTACCTTTCAGACACCTCATTTTTAAAATATGGGTTATGATATATGTACTTCACCTAGGTTTGTAGAACATCTTAGAGCAGTACTTTTAAGATAGGAACACTCTGTACCTTTAAATTTCCTGCTTTCCTCCCTTCACCTTTGGGGGAGGGGTATGGTTGGGAGGATAATAATAAAGAATAGCTCATTCATAGACTTAATTTCAAAATGTGTTAAATCTTCCTGTTCTAAAGTGATCATCGAAGCTGTCGCTTGTTTTACTGTTATTTTACTATATACCTACTGCTTTGCTTTTAGGTCTCGTTTTTGCCCTATAATAAAAGAGGTTGCACTAGAATTTACTGGCAATCTAAGCTACTTGTTCTTATGAACGACATGTAAATGTGCAGGGTGTGGTTGTACCACAGGTTCTGGTGCTGCCCCAACTTATTCCTTAAGTAAAGTAACATTGCGATGGTGGGGAGGGCAAAACAGTCACAGATGTGTTGTGAAATGGATGGTAAATTTTATACTGTCTGTAACGAAAAATGTATTGGAAGCAATTTTGTGATTAAGGCTATATACCCAAACTCCAGGGGTGGGGCACCTTGGCAGGGAGAAAAAGGTGTGTGAAACACCTTCCTGTATCTGTGTAAGTAGGCAGAGGCAGAGT